AGCCTAAAGGTTTCACTTTGGGGCTTTCCCAGGCCTTGTCTCAGCTAGCGTCTCCTGCTCTTGCAAACATTTATTGGCTCTTTCTAAAGCAGTTAATTTCAATATTAAGTCATGCGGTTCATTAGAGAGAGGTCTCTGGGGGTAGAAGAAATTACGACAATGTTTTCTGACAGCAGGCAGCCCTGGCTCCAGAGACAGGGCTTCAATCCCACTTGGCATAACAGGAGGAGAGAGCCTGGACCGAGGGACAGAACTGGTGCATGACAAATAAGGTGAGCCACGAGGAACAAAAGGAGTTGGGCAGGCCATAGAATCGACAGGCACAGACCGAAGAAGGAGTGCCACGAGTGACAGCTGTAAGGTGCTGATGAAGTTTCTTGCAGGAAAACAAAGTGCAATGGCAAGCGGGTGTTGTGCGCTGGCACGATGCACAGCAGACTGCCAAGACAGCTCACTCAACCCCCTTCCTTTCTAGGATACCGACACCTTCCTCCCAGAGTGCTGCTTGGCAAGCTTACAAAAAGCCCTCACGGCTCTTTCCTGAAGAAGGTCTCAGAGAAATGCCATCTCCACAACCACCCACCTGGCCTCTCTGCATTTGCAAAGACTGAAAGCAACATCTACGCAGATCTACTGGTTTCCTAATCAACAGGAAAGGGCTGAAGTGTAGTGATCTAACCACAAACAACTATTGATGTTCCCTGTGGTTATGAACCCCTTTGCTCTGCCCCAGCCTACCCCTGAGAACACGCTCTGTTCTCAGAGACGGAGAGGTTTGACTGGCTTCGCCTCACGTGAAGCAGCCCCACGAGCCCTGACGGCATTACCTGAGAGCGCTGCCTCGTGCTCACAGCGCCAGCAGCAGATGCTGCAGCAGCGCAGTCCATGGTTTAAGCGTGAGCACAGCTATAACTGGACCTGCCTCAGCAACATTGCAAGCACAGTAGTTCGTCTGTGAAGCTTCTGCTTCAACATCTGGCAGCAGCAAGTTCCCAAGGTTAATTATGCTTCCTAAATGCCAGTATTCCCTTTATCAGGAAGGGCTGACTTTCCATTTTGGTGCTCCTGCAGTTTGAGAGGCCAAATTGAAGCAGGCGCTTTACCTTTGCTGTATCATTACTTGGAATCCATCTGCTCCCTTTTCTGACACCTCCTCCCCTCTTTTGCACAGTATCTTTTCAGACAGTAATCATTTCTGCACACTTTCCATTTTTCCCATTTCCCCTACTCCCTTAAAATATGAACACAGTACTCATGGTGAGCATGTGAGGGATTTCTGTAACGGCAGTATCCCTCTCTTCCCATCTTTTAAGAAAAGTGAGTTCAGCCTCCTCCTGACACCCGCTGACCTGTACAGTCCAAGCTGCCTGTAGCAGCAGTGAAGTCTTCCACTTGCCAAGTTGCAGTTAATTTAGTACTCAGCAACACATGCAAGAAGCTCAACATGTTTTTCCAACAACCGCACGAAGGCCACGAGGTTAGAAAAACCTCCCCTTTTGCTCAAGGAGATGTGATGCAATTTAATATTTTCTGATGTATGATTCTATGAAAGGTCAGAGGGGCCAAAGGACACTCGCTGGCTCACTTGCTTGTCAAGGTAGGTTTATCACAAGCACCATACGGCTGATGAGAGCTGTGGGGGGAGCAGCTTATCTCTTTGTATGCTTTTGAAGAGGCAAAGCTTTCTCAGGGCACTTCTGTAACATGACCATAGATGACAAGAGCAATTGTAAGGTTATCTTCCCCGGTAGTTCTTCCCCCCCCCCCCCCCCGTCTATCGCAAACATGTTGGAGGCTTTGTGCAACTCTTTTGCAACATCTTGAATGTCATACAGTTTAGTGAATTCCTCCAAATTTCCTTGGCGTCTTCTTCATCATGCATTACATGGACCATTGGGTCATCTGCCAGTTTTGCCAGCTCATCTCTTCACCAAGATACCACTGAACAGTTTACCCCCTTGGGAAGGGTCTGTTAGCTACCCTGCGGTATAATGCAGCCTATGTACTCCTCTGCTCTCTCAAATCCTTTCCAAACACACAGAAGCCACTGCCTAGAAACACGAATGCTCTGCCTTATCCTTAAAAAGCCATGTTCCTGAAGCTGCAAATTCCCTAATGTAACAAAGTCACCAAATTGCTGCTCCAAGCGGAAAGGCAAATTATCCAAGGAAGTCAAATGCCTCAAGCCCAGCCAGGAAAGGAGGAGAAACCACAGAAAGGGCAGCCAGACCCTGAGCCCCAGAACTAGGGGCAGGAGAAGCCAGCACACCAGCTTTCTACCTGGTGAAAGGCAAGGCCAGGGGCTTCCTCCCCGCAGGTGGCCAACCTCCACCTCCCAGGCAGCCGTACCCAGGACCATCCTGCAGCTCCCCCTGCGCCCCGCACCTCCAGTGCCACGGTTCATAGCCTCACACATCCCCACACCACATCCCCCTGCCCGAAAGTGTCACTCTCCACTCCAGGCCAGCCCCCCCTGCACTGCCCCCCTGCAATCCCAGCCCATGCTGTAGGCTAGCCTTCCAAAATCCTGATCAGCCTCACAGATCGCACAACTCTGCGTTCACCTCAGCTCTGAACAGCCCTGCATCTGCCCAAAATCCGTGCCCACCTTACTCCTAGAGCTCCCTACTCTTGCTGCTGCCCCACATCTACCCCACAGTCCCTAATCCCTTGCATCCCCTGTCAACACTCATCTCACAGCTGTTTCCCACCCCCAAATTCAGGCCCCCACCCTATTCTTTGACTGGCATCCATCCTGCAGCACTGCCCTGTAGCCCACAGCCCCCGCTGCTCTCTACTGCCATATCCCACTGCATTTTCTTTGCCCAGCACCCCACGGCTCCCTGTATCCCATTCCCCACAGCAGCATCCTGTCCCCATGCCCTGCTCTACCCCATGACCATCCCAATGCCAGATCCTACCCCACAGTCCTGCACCTGTATTTTGCTCTGCTCCATGGCCACGTCCAAAAGCCAGTGTCCTGCCCCGTGGCTACATCCCATGCCCTGCCCTATCCTCCCTGCAGCTCCATGTTCACTTGGCTATGCCGAAACATCCGTTCCCTGTCCCCAAAACGGCCCTGTCCCACCCCACAGCCTTAGGCGCACGCCTCCGTTCCCTGCCCCACAGCTCCATAGGTATGCCACATGATCTGCCCGACTGCCCTGTGCCCTGCCCCAGAGCCACGCTCCATATCCTGTCCCACCACCATGCCCATAACCCTACACCTTGCCCACAGCCTCATGCTTTGCCCCACAACTCACAGCCATGACCTTTCCTGCCCAGCCTCACACCTCCATGCTCTACCCCATATCCCATCAAATAACTATAACTGTGCTCTGCCCCACACACTGCGCCGTATCTTCATACTCTGTCCCATGCTCTACCCCACAGCCCCATGGCCCCACAGCCCACCCCACAGCCCCATGCCCACGGCCACACCCTGCCCCACCGCACAGCCTGCCCCACAGCTCCATGGCCATGCCACTGCCTT